TCTAGGTTATGGCCAAGCGTTGCAACACTTCATTGATACAATATGTTCCCCCGGGGACAAAAACAGACGTAGCTTTCTAAAACCGACAGCACTCTTTCTTTTGTTTCTCGGATCTCTTCTATCGCTCGCTTTTTTTGCGACTAGGACGCTTGCGAGACCCCCCTAGTTACTCCACGTAAAACCTCAATTTCAGCAGCTATTTCATTTTTCTTCTGATTCAGTCGCGCTCCAGCGAGAAGTTGGCTTCAAGTTCGCGTAATTCGCGCGAGGCGAAATTACGGCGAGTGGGAAATTGCACAGACACGCGCGCGCGGTGCGGAGAAAGGCTTTTGTTTGCCAACCGGTTTTCGCGTGCGACGGCGATTCCTCGAACGCCATTTTATCCACTCTTTCCCCCCCCCCCCCCCCCCATCTCCCACCCTCCGGCCGTCCGAAAAGGATGCACTTGCGAGTGTGATTTACACGGTGAGCTCCAGCTTTCGTTCGCTACTTTTCGCGGCGCTCTCCCCGAGCGAGGTGGTGTAATCCGCTAGTCGCCGGTTCATTAACCGGAGCGACCTCCGTGTATTCCCCGAGCTCTCTCTCTCTCTCTCCTCTCTCTCTCTCTCTCTCTCTCTCTCTCTCTCTCTCTCTCTCTCTCTCTCTCTCTCTCTCTCTCTCTCTCTCTCTCTCTCTCTCTCTCTCTCTCTCTCTCTCCTCTCTCTCTCTCTCTCTCTCTCTTACTCTCTGACACTTCTTCTCCCACTCGGCGCCCGCGACTGTGCAGCTCGCATCGTCGACCTTTTCCGACCGGCGCGTTAACACACATCGGCACGCGCGTGTGGGTTAGTGTTGCGTTACCTTTCTCGAGCTGCTGCTGCTGTTGCTGCTGCTGTGGCTGTTGTTGCTGCTGTGGAAGCAGGCTGTGCGACCTCAATGTCGTCTGGAGTTGCGCTGCGCTGCCTGGTCGTCCCCGCGATTTGCGACCGTTGCGCGGCTGCAAAACAAAAGGACGACGATCAGTGTGCATAGATCCGCGACCTCACCGCCGCTCCTCGTCGGCAACGACAAAGGAAGAGCACGAGGCGTCGTCTCTCTCTCTCTCTCTTTCTCACTCTCCGCCGCCGAGTTTTATTGCGAATCGGGGTTAGAGAGCTTGCAGCGCGAGCCGCTGGCGCTCGGCCAAGGTATTTCGCCCGGCATTCCGTGCCCGACCACCACGAGAAAGAGGGAAGACGACGCCTCGAGGGAGGGGAGGCGGACCGAACGGGGATCTGGATTATTTCGATTTCGGTTTGAAGCGCAACTGACCTATGCTCAAGCGCGCGAGTGTAATTACGCGACTTTTTCTTTCTTGCGCCGTTATCGCGCCTCGTAATTGCATTGTTCTCCTTTCGCCAAGGACAAAGGGGCGATAAAAAAAAAAAAAGAAAACAACAAGAGCTCTGCAAGTGCGTCTTCTGCAAACGCCATATCCACGCACACCACTGGCCAAAACTTTGGGACAGCCGTCCCGTCGCACCGCAAAACTGAAACTGTCACATTCCACGAGGCGAGCAGATTTTAATTGGAGTATCGAGCGAGTGAGACAGAGAGAGGAGACATTGTCGGCTTCGGCCGAGTCGTAAACTCGCACGGGTTCGGGGAGGGGGGGGGGGCGCTTGCTCGCACAAGCGGAAGCATTAAAGGGGTACGCGGTTGGCATTTAAATTTTCGGCGCAGGGCTTTCACAGGCCGGGCCGCGTCCTATCGGTTATTACCTCGAAAATCCATTGTTGCTCGAAGAGCGATAAAAGAAAAAAAAGTAGTGGCAGGGGGGGGGGGGGGGGGGGTAGCGAGCGATCGCATGACTTGCCGAGGGAATCGCGACGCGACGGCACGAGGCTATAAATTCGCGATCGATCCTCTCGCTCTCGGCAGCGAGCGAGGAATTCATTTAGCCTCGCGCGCGCATGTTTCTTCTTTTTTTTTTTCTCTCTCTTTTTCTTTATTTCTTTCCGTGCCGTTTCGCTGTGCGCATTGTTCTGCCGTCGTGTAATCCGCGCGCGCGAGTTATGCGTTCTTTTCCTCCCGCGGCCCGATAGCATCGCGCGCGCGCGCGCGCGCGCCTCCTCCGCCGAGGCGGCTTGTAAACACGCTGGGAGAGGAAGGCGAATCGCGGTCGTCCGAGCCGCAAAATGGAGGATCCGTGGAGCGTCGATAAAGCCCCCGCGCCATCGGTGTCTCGTTAATGTATCGCGGATAAACCGCAATAATTAAGCATCCGATCGTTGCGAGGCATCTCACTCTCTCTCTCTCTCTCTCTCTCTCTCTCTGAATAATTCATCGCCGCCTCGCTTCACTTATTCACGCCGCTTTGCGCTGTAGTGCTGTGACATTGAGATCCCCCTCGTTTCGTTCGTTTTCTCGCGAAAAAAAGGAAGAAGCGAGCTAGCGAGCAGACAGTAAAGATGAAGAAGGAAGAATATGTGTGTACGTGTACATACATATATAGATATGTATGTATGTATGTATGTATGTATGTATATATATATGAGAGCGTCCCCTTACTCGGCAACACACAAATCGATGGCGTCGGAGGATGCGCGCAGTCGGAGAGGACTACAATCCCGTCGTTGTCGCACAATCTTTTTTTTCTTCCTCGCGCACTGTTTTCTTCTCTCGCACACTCCTTTCCCTTTTTGTTCGACACACAAAGCTGCACACGATTGATTCGTGGTTCTCTCTCTCCCCTCGACACACTATATCCCCGCACACAAGGAGAAGATCGAGGAAGGGAGACAGGGAAGGATAGTTTCAGCGCACTTTTTTTCAGAGCAACAACACAAGAGAGAGAGAGAGAGCGGCTGTTCGTTGACAACGTGAAAAAAAAATCTCGCACGAAACAACAACGACAACGACGACGACGACGGCGACGGCGGCGGCGGCGACGACGACGACGACGACGACGACGACGACGACGACGACGACGACGGCGGCGACGGCGGCGACGACGACGACGACGACGACGGAGATGATGCGCGTCAGGCGCAGTGCTGCCGTCTACTGGCACCCGCAGAGCTGGCCGAGCAGCGACGAGCCGCCACCCGCCGTCAAACGGAACTCGCCGGCGAGTCATCCCTACTCCTGTTTCGCGTGTACCGCCTCGCCTCCCCGCGCGCGCAAAGCGACTCCGCGGCGAGACGTGCCAGATTCTCGGGCGCGCGCGCGCGCGCCTTTGTGCGTCTCTCGCGGTATAGCCGCTGCGCTTTTCTCGCTCTCCGCCGAAATCGCAGCAGCGGGCGACGGGGCCGCGGCCTCGCGAGCGATCGCCGAAGATCACGGGCGCGGGCGCGCGCGTCCAGCGAGCCGAAGGTGCGCTTTCGTTATCGTTCGGCGAGCATCGCGGCGAGCATCCGAGAGGCGGAAGGCTCGCCCGGTGGGCACGAGGGTTCCGCTCTCGAAGCTCCCTTAGCCCGGAGACAACGCGGGGCGAACGACCTCTGGCTGATCGCGCAAGGGTGCTCGTGCAGCCGGAGAGACGATCGTAATCGACCTTGGCTGCGGACGGACAGGCAGGTGCACGCGGGGCCGAGCCCTTCAGCCGGCATCAGCCGCGTGCAGCGGCTAACGAGCACGAAGGAAAATTGAAAGGCCAGTAGCAGCGGCGGCGGCAGCATCCAGCGAGCGCGCACAAGAGAGATGGATCGAGTGAGAGAGAGAGAGAGTCCTGCCGCGAGCGCCGGTGGTGGTGGTGGTAGCAGGGTCGTTCGCCCGGCGCGGCGTAGTGGGAGCTGTATTGATTGTCGGGGGTACACCACCCGAGACACACCCCAGGCTCCCTTCTGCTGGCTGCGCCGCTGTGCCGTGGTACCGACGCGCAGCCGACGACCTTTCGGTTCCGCTTGCGCTCTCTCGGATGCCGTGCCCCTCTTACCACTCACTCGCTCATTCGCTCTCTCTCTCTCTCTCTCTCTCTCTCTCTCTCTGCTCTCTGTTTACCTTTCGTTTTGTTTCTTTTTTCCGTTTTGCTGGCTTGAATATCGACGAGGACTTTCGCTCGGCCAGCCAATTTCGGGGATCGACGCTCGTAAACTCGCGCTATTCCGATCCAATTAACACTTTGGCGAGCGAGCGCTAAATCACTGGCGCAAGGGACGACCAAATTCCGAAGAGCTGTCTTTTCCCCAGGCGACCCCTGGGCCGCGCTCGCGCGACAAATCATCGGACGCCCGGAGAGCGGAAGAAAAAGATTATCCCAAAAGGAGCATGATACGAAATGGCGTCGTCTCGTGACCCCGGTCAATCGTCGGGCTTTCCTCTTCCTCGAATGCTCGCGCTATGGCGCTTCAATCGGAATTTATCGGCGTATCCCCCTTTCCCGGCCCTCGCGCTCGTGGCTCGACGCGCACCTCGCGGCCGTCGCGAGCCTTCGCCGCGGCGCCGCGGCAAATCGAGCATCGCGAGACCGGATAATTCAATTATTTCGGCGACCAGCCCGCCCGCCCCGCACGTACAAACAGAGACAGAATTATTCGGCGTCTAGACGCGCGCGGTAAATTATCAACGCGGCGCGATTAATAGCGGCCGGCGCACGAAGAGGATTCGCTTCCGAATCGACGAAAACCGAGAATAAAGCGAGCGCGTCTAGACAAGCGCGCTCTCGATGCCCAATCGATATGCATACACTGACACAAATTCAATATCCGAGCCGGCTATCGCGGCGTTCCGATCGCTAGGGCGGATGGGGATCTCGAGTTTCGAGTGAGATTAAGATCACTTACCATGACCAAAGCGTGGCTGAGGGCCGTCGAGGATCTCGACCTCCTTGGTGTCATGCCGACGTTTTCGCCCCTCATGATACTGTCGACCACTGCGCAACACAAAGACGATCGTCACTCGAGGCGCTACTCCCCGTCGCCGAAGAATCACAGTAGGGAGAGAAAAGAAAAAAAGAAAACGCTCGTGTTTACCTCCGTCGCCGATGAGCCTCATTTGCACCAGGCACGGATCCTCGTTGTGATCCTCGAGGACCGTGTCGTCCGTCACCGTCAGATCCTGCAAGAGAAACCAAGCGCACATCGAGATTGGCGAGCGAGGAAAGCAAGCGCGTGATCGGCTGACGCAACTCGCGGCAACTCGCCGCTCGCGAGATAACGCACAAGTCGGCGAGCGTGGCCGTTCCTCGACCCGAGGCGACAGCCGCGATTACGTAATAACGGGAAGAGCGCGGATACGAGATAGGCAGAACGATCGACGTTTTTGAGGAGCATCGCGACAAGGAGGACGCGCGATCTGCCAAGGTCAGGTCGAGAAGCGGGAAAGCAGAGAAAGTTAGACGCCGCGGGCCCGCGAGCGTCCGACAGTGGCTTGTAGCTTCGTGTCGGACAGGTCTCTTCCGGAGCGAGCAACGCCGTCGTCGAGCGCTCGGTGGAGCTTGCGTCGAGCGGTTACGCCAAGAGAGCCGCGGTTTCGTCAGCTTTCGTAATTGCGACGCGAGGGCGTCGAGGGACTCGCGGGGTAAGCAGCTGCCAGGGGACCGCAGTGTCGCGGCAACGTCGTCGCGCCGACGACCACGCGGGGATCGTTCGAGATGAGAGACTCGGTCACATCGACAATCACCTTGGTAGCCTCGTTGTAGCCGACGATGACCGCCGTGTACCACTGTGTCGTGCCCTCGGCACGGTAGACCTCCACTCGAAAGCCCACCAGCACGCTCGGCGTGGTGAGCAGGATACTTTGGCCGTCCTGCATCTCGGCCCACTGCCGCACGGACGACGCCCACGCCGACGAGCCTTTGCTCAGCTCCCAATCGGTCTGCAAAAGCGAACAGAAAAAAAGGCGAGCATCGGTCACGGGAGCTTTTGTGTATATCCGAGGGGGGTCATTAAAAAGCGAGAGCGAGGGAAGCTCTTGCCGCCGCCGCCGCCGCCGCCGCCGCCGCCGCGACCCCGCCCTTATCGATTGCACGCGGGAGAGGTGCGCACGCTCCGAAGCTCGTTCGCATTGGCCTGAAAGCTTCGCCGCGCCGACCCTCCGCACACACAGAAGCGCGCCAACTTCATTTGCACAGTTATAAGCCGTAAAGTTTTGCGCGCGCGAGGGGAAATGTTTCACGAGAGTTGAGTTAGGTTAGGCTCTCCTGCCCCCCAACACACACACGCGCGCGTTACACAGTGATAAAATCACGGAGAGATTTTTCTTTCGTGCTCGTTGCTTTTGTCCGGAGCGAGCGGACAGATTGGATTGTCCTCGCTTTCAAAAGGAACGCAGCGCTGCGATTCGAGCGGCGCACGGCAACGATTAGACGAGGAGCGCGTGCCGACGAGCGAATGTGGAGCACGAGCAGCTTTCCCGAAGCTTCGCGCGATCGAGACGTCGCCCTTTAAAACTCGCCGTCGCGCGTAACGCGGCGTTCGAGGCCGTGGAACCTGTCTCGCTTGCGCGTTGCCTCTGCGATTTACAGCTTCGCGCGAGGCCGCGCATTCGTCAAAAGTAATCATCGCGCGAGGCGACGCTCGTAATCTCGAGCGAGAGTCTACTGACCCTGAACTATAAATGCACAGCGGCGCGAGTTCCTCTCTCTAAACGCGATTGCATATATCCTCTCTCTCTCTCTCTCTCTCTCTCTCTCTCTCTCTCTCTTTTTTTTCACGTCTCCGTTAGCCGAGGAGAGCGATGGCCGTTGGCCAAGAAAGCCGCCGATCCGACACTCGCCCCCGTACTTTCAACTCGCGGCGGAGCGAAGAAAGAAAAATAACTAACAAAAAGCTTTCTCCAACTTGTTTATCGACGAGAACAAGTGGAAGTTTGCGAACTTTCGCGCCGTGCCTCTCTGCGTCCCAAGTTATTTTCGCGCTTCACGGTGACTTTGACAAAAAGGAAAGTATTTTCAACGCCGAGCGATTTCACGCGGGAAATTCGATAAACTCGCGGATTCTTTCGTCACGATCGAAAAGTTGCGAGTGATTTTCTCAGAAGGTAGTTTAATTACTCGGAAGTAGGGGGGGGGGGGCGTTATCGATCGGCTTTCGGTTCGCCGTGCAATTAAAAAAAAAAAGTGGATATCTCGACGTCAACTTTTCTCTCTGCGAAACTCCGTCTGTAACTTTGTTGAGTAGAAAGAGGGGAGAGAGAGAGAGAGAGAGAGAGAGAGAGAGAGAGAGAGACGGAGCGCGTGTAGGCAAACTTGATAACGAAGTAGGTTTCTCCGGCGTGACCTTGCGCGCGCGGCTCGGATTAGCCGAGTTGGCCAGAGTTGCGGGGTACTCACAGTGAAGGGCTTGAGGCTGGCGTAGTCGATGAACTCGAGCTTGCGGTCCTGCATGAACTCGACGGGCGTGGAGTCGTCGGGGAGCTCGGCGCGCGCCACCAGCGGGAAGAAGGCCTGCGGAATAGAAGAGAGCGTGAGAGCCGCGGGGACCTAGAGCGCCGTGCGGCGGGCTCACTTACGATCGCGGGCCAAGGCACGGCGGAGCCGGCGGCGCCGCTCTGGCCGCCGCGCGACGGCTTGCCGTTGACGCGCAGCGGGTGCGGGTGGTTGTTGTTGGCGCCGCCGTGCTGCTCGACGGCCAGCAGGCTCGCGTGCTTCGGGTCGGCCCGCTCCGACCAGTTCAGGCCCTTCTCCACCAGGAAGAACGAGAACACCGTGTCTCGGTGCGGCGACAGCCACTCGCGTCGCTGCCAGTCCACGTCGTCGTACTCCACCAGCACCTGCAACCACACAGGCGACGGGGTCGTTGGTCAGCCAAGTCACTCGAGCGATCTGCCGGCGCGCTGCCGCTTTGGGGCGAGCGGCACCGGTCTCGCCGCATTTGCCGCGTCGATCCTCGCCGGATCGGAACGCGCGACAAGGTCAAACTTTCACCGGCAGCGGATATATCGAGCGGACGCGCTAGTTGACCGCGAGCGCCGTCAGATGTCGACGCCTCTCGGAGACGAGATTCCCCGGCAACGATGGCCGCGGGTGCCGAGGCTCCGCCCGGCCTGGCCCGCCCACCGGCCTCGGTCGCCATGACGACGGCGCGCGCGCCGGCCACTCTCCTCCTCCTCCTCCCGCGCCGCCGCTGCGCCGTCCACCCCCCACTCTCCGCGATCTTTGGCGGGAAAAGCAGCGCGTGCGGACGGCGCCTACACGCGTGCCTCCGCGAGTGCCCGCGCGCTCCCGCTGCACGCGGTGCGCATGGCCAATCGATCGGTTGCGCGCGCGCTCGATCGCGATCGACGAGCCGCGGCTCTGCTCCGGAGACTCGCGGCGTTGCTCGCGGCTCGCCTCGCGCCTCGGCGGGCGAGACAGGCGCGAGCCAGAGCCGGCCGGCGCTCACCCTCGGGAGCGGAGTAGGGGGCGCGCGCGAGGAGAAGGATTTTTGGGGCAAGGAACTCGCCGACGGCGGGTGCATCGCACTTTCCCTCTTCTCCCTGCTGGCCGGCCGGCCGGCGACGCGCCTCGCCGACCAGATACCCGCATTCCTTCGCGGCTTCGACCGCGCGCCACCCACGACATTGCCGTCAGCTGCCGTTGCTCGAGCTTCGTCGACTTTGATTTCGAAGACCCATTCTTCGGCAAGCAGCGTTCTCCCGACGATGTGGATCGATTCGGGCGATATTTCTCCATGATAACTAGCCTAGCGCCGCGACATCGACATTGAAAACAATCGTTGTCGACGCGCGCTCGCGCGGGATATAATTAGTACCGGATCGAAAAGAGAGAGAGTGAGAGAAAGAGAGAAAAAGACCCTTTCGAGCGCAATGCTCTCGCGCGCCCTTCTTTTCCCTCTCGGCTTGGAAGCACAGCCGCGACCTAGTTTCTGCCGCGCGACCGTTCGCACGGAATCGTCACTGGCCACCAACGGAACAAAACACAGAAAGGAAAAAAAATCCAAGGGAGAAAAGGAAAAGGTGTCGACGCCCGCCGAGCGATGCCCATCGATCGAGCGATCTCTCGAATAGCGCGCTCTTTGTACGCTTTTTTTCCTTATCGTTCGTTCACATGCGCAGACTGCGGCGACGACGTCGTTTGTTTGCCGAGTACTCGTGCGCTCTCATTCGAACCTGTGGCACGGCCTATTTTCCGCATCCGAGGAAAGGAAAGGGAAAAAAAGGTCGCGAGCAGTTTTTGACCCGGAACTGTTGACACTGCGGATAAGAGTCGACCTCTTTTTCTCTTTTTCTTCTTTCCACCTTATCTCTTTTTTGTTCGAACGTCGCTAAAAGAATATTCGAGGAGCGAAGGAGAGAAAAAGAAAACACGCGATTTTCTCTTTCTTGTTTTTCTTCATTTTCTTCTCCCGATATTCGTGGGAAAAGTTTCCTCTACGCGTGCTTGCGTCTCATTATCAGCGCGCTCGAGAATCCCAGATAAGGCGAGCGTGGTCCGCCGACGATATAATCAATCGTCGCCTTCTATTTTCGATTCGCGCAAGCTGTCCTCGCGTAATCGAGAAACTCGCGCTTTGTTTTCTTCTTCTTTCTTAGCGAGATAAAGCTCGATCGCCTCGCGAAACCCGTTAGCGGAGGCCGTCGTTGCGCGCCGACGACGAGCGCTTATGTTGGCCCCGCGGGACGTCCGACTGCTACGGCACGCGCGTGCCCCAGCTGTTTTTTTTTTCTCGTGCGTCCGCGCGTCGCTCCCGTTGCGACGTTGATTTTCGTGCGCACCTCGAGCGTCAAGTTCGCGCGTTTGCGAAAAGCGCGATTGGCCGACGAGTTGCTCGAGATCGGTTAATCCACCGTGATCGATGACACTCCAAAGTCTCGAATGAAAGAAACTGAATGCTTCGTTCGAGGACGACGTTTCTTATTCATCGGCTTATCGCTTATTGACAATGAAGCGAATTCGAGAAATTCCTTTTTTATTTTCACCGTTTATTCCCGAACCCTTTCCCTTCTCGGCTACTCTTGTGAAAAATTTCAAGGTACTTCGTGTTTCTTTCGCGATCCCTAAATCATTCAGTAGAAAGTGAAATCCACAAACCACCAATTTTTCAATATCGCAACCCAAGTATAAAAATAAAATAACGCAAAAAATTAAATAAATTTGAAAAAAACGAAATAACAAAAAACCAACATCGTTTCGTTTGATATACACAGCGAGTATCGCGCAAAGGACGTGTGCTCGTGCAGATTGTGTCGGCGCGCGATGGTGGGGGAGTTATAAACGCGAAGCGCGCACGTTTACGACTTGGCGCACGGCTCGCGCACACACTTACGCCGACATACACGAACGACCAGTATACCGGAAGTTGGAGGCCACCGCCTGACCTTGCGTCGTCGTCGCGGTTGTCGTCTCTCTCTCTCTCTCTCTCTCTCTCTCTCTCTCTCTCTCTCTCTCTCTCTCTCTCTCTCTCTCCGCTTTTTTAAACGAAGCGTTCTTTCTCTCAAACTTGCGTTTCGGAGAAAGGAGTATCGATTTATTTTGTTTGACGGGGAAAATTCGCTTTGCGAGGCTATCGCGACCTTCGAGCACACGCACGTACACCTGCTGCGCTGATAACTTTATGTGCTCAAAAGATCGTCGGCAACTTGCGTGAAAATTTGGAATGATTTCATCGTATCTTTCGAAAAAGTCGTCCACAAAAAACACAAGTGCACCTTTAAATGCCTCGAAATCGCTAGAGTGATTCGAAATGACTGAAATTAAACAAAAACACAAAAAAATATATATACATTAGTCATGCCTAGATGGAGAGCACGTCGACTTAATGTAACTGGCATTTTTATCATTTTTATCATTCTCTTGCCGAAGAATATTCGATGCGTCGAAACCAACCTCATCGTATCGACAAAATTATCTGGTGCGCGCGCAAGAATAACCGAGCAAGAAGACCAAATTCTCAGTACGTGAAAGCGCTTATCCCACGCTGAAAACCAACGCCCGGCGACTCTGAAGGAAAAGCAACGCAATCAGGAAATAATTACTCTGGTCGTCGAACACGCCTTAACGTTTGTTTCACGGAGACACGCGTGTCTCGCGCGCGCACCCACGCACTCCACTTCGCTTCACGATCTTGGACTTGGCGCGCCACAGGGCGTTGGCCAAGTTTCGCTGCAGCGTGTAAAAATATCGATCGCTGCAAATGATGTACAGAGAGAGAGAGAGAGAGAGAGAAATAAGGGTGTGGCAGCGGCAATGGCACGCGCGGATTCGCATTAATTCGAAAAGAGGCTCCCTCTTCGTCCACCGGACGGGGGGAGCGCCACGAAAAAAACGCGTGCAATGGACACGCGGAAGGCTTCGTTTTCTCGCGTTGATGGGATAATTGGCCGACAGCTGGCCGCTTGTCGCGATGGCACGTCGTCCGTTGGAACGCGCCAACAGTGCGTTCCAGCGAACGGAAACCGAGAGAGAGGCCACGGAGCGCTCGACAATTTCGGGCGTCGTCTCGAATGGAAACGCGGATGGCAATTCAGATGACGATCACCGCTCCGACTGTACTACACCGTTCTCTTTCTCTCTCTTACAAAAACGCTACGTAGCACAGCGGGAACGCAAAGCTCGCAGATCGAAGAAAAAAAAGTCGATCCGCAGGCGAAAGCGGGTCAAGCGGTCTCTCGCTTCAACGAAACGAAAAGCAGCGGGCTGGCCCCGTGTAAATCCATTACGCGGTGGAATCGAGCGCGCGATGAGTGCGCGCGTCAGCTGACTGCCGGCTACTCGCGTCGGAGCGTGCTCGCCGAAAAGATCAGCTGTGCCTTCGACGTCGCGACTAGTTCCCGATCGGGACCTTCCACGAGCGTCGGAGCGATTCACCAGGAAGACGCGTCGCGTGCCGGCGGCGGCCGATTCGAGGGCGCAGGCGGGGAACGGCAGGGACGCCCCAGTTTTCCCCGAAATCTGGGTCGAACGCGAGACGCGCGCGCTACGAAGGGGGCCGACGAATGTCGCGCTGCCGCTGGAGGAGCCGGTCGCAGAGTGCACGCGCGCGCTCCCGACCAGCTGAGCGCCGTCCGAGTCCTCCGTTTTTTGACGCTCTGCCCCAGCCTCGCGCTCGTCGCTCGACAGCAGACGCAGACGAGAATCCCGCAATGACGACCAGCAGGTGTCGAGTATGTCTCGCTGGTGAGAGAAAAAGGCGGCCCGACCTTGCCCAAGTCTGCGGTACGTGTTGTCAATCAGGCGCCAGCGAGCGACTCATTCACTCGCGAGCGCGGCTCGCGCGCGTTGATATTTATAGACTGGCGGCGGCGACGGTAAAGGTGCGCACGGCGAGAGAGAGAGAGAGAGAGAGAGAGAGAGAGAGAGAGAGAGAGAGAGAGAGAGAGAGAGAGAGAGAGAGAGAGAGAGAGAGAGAGAGGAAGGGATTCCTTGTCGATTGCTGAATGGGAAAGTGCGCGCATGGCGCGAGAGCTGCCTCGCGCGTACACACCACGGCAATTTCGCGGCGAAAGGAGTGTGTTCGGTCGATTTGCCATAGCAATCGATCCTTCGATTTTCTCGAACTCGTTGAAATTCTGCGTAATGTTCAAAAGGATCGGGTAGATCGCAAGGAAACTATTTCCGTATTATAACAGTTTTAAGGCGAGTATCTAAAGTACCCTCGCTCTTTGTTTTCTTTTATTTTGTGTTTTTTGCTTGCAACGATTCCTTTCTGAAATAGTTGAAATTCTCCTTAAAACCAGCTCCAAGATATACACAAACGTGTCGTACATATGCCGTATTTCCAGTTTCATCGAAAATTCAATTCGTATTTCTGCGACACGCTCATTTTAATGTT